TAATTACTTATACCAGAAGCAAACATATAGTTTACATAAGTATCGTAACTTAGTTAAGCCATTTTTAATAGTGTGCTGTAATGGTTATATCCTTGATGTTTTTGGACCATATCCTGCAACAGAATCAGATGCTTCTATAATTCTTAGACTGTTCAACGATAATAGTCCACTGCGAACCTATTTTAGAGAAAACGATGTATTTATTCTTGATAGAGGTTTTAGGGATGCAATTCCATTCTTGCAGCAATGTGGTTATAAGGCTTACATGCCTGAATCTAAACAAGCTGGTGAAATACAATTATCAACCATTGCTGCCAACAAGTCCAGATGTGTAACTTTGTGCAGGTGGGTGATTGAAATTGTAAATGGGAGATTTAAACGGGACTTCAAATTATTTCGTCAGGAATATTTTAATACTGCATCTACTCATCTCATGCTATACTTTAAAATTGCAGCTGCATTAATAAATCGATTTCATACGTTGATTCGTAATAATTTTCATGCTGTAGAGATATTGGCAATTGCTCAAGCCAAACTAAACACTCCAAATAATTTAGCCTCCTACGTAGAAATGCACAATTTAAATAGAGTGAGAGTGCGATTTGCCAGCATTAATGGTAATCTTCCAGAGCTGGATAATTTTCCTCAACTGACATTCCAGGATCTCATTCTGTTTAGTCTAGGAATTTATCAAATTAAACAAGCTCGTAGTTATTACGGGGAGCATGTCAGGGCTTCTGGAGAATATAAAATCGAGGTATACCTGCAATCTGTCCATGATTTTGGTCCAAATAGTTATCTATTGCGAGGTAGGATACAATCAAGGCACACTAGTAAAAAAACTTATTACACTTATATACTAGTTGACACCAACCCATCAATTGCTAACACTAGGGCTGCTCTTACTGGGTACTGTTGCAACTGTTTGGTAGGCAGACGCACTGTTGGCTGCTGTGCACATGTCATGTCTGTTGTCTGGTTTCTATCTTGGGCACGGCATCGAGATGAGGTTGAACCACCTGCATCTTTTTTAGATGATATATTACTTTCAAGTAATGATATTGAAAATGATGAATGATGATTATTAATCTTAATGCGTATTAATATTGTAATATAAATGATCATTTTTGCTATAGTTGCTTCACTTGTGGCAACCAAAGTTTTTTGTGGTATTCTATAGGAAGATGCTGCTCCTCATCTCCTGGTATTTTTATTTTATTCTGTCGACTTTAACGACACCATACGGGACGGAACGTGATGGCAATTCACGGAAGGCCTCTGTAATATTTTACATTATATCTTTAATTTAGGAGCCATATGTTCGGCAGTGGACTGTTGTAATGATGATGAATAATGATGACTAAAAATTGTAATTTTTGTTGCTTATTTGAACTATTTCTATTTTACTGTGTGCTTTATTATCTGTTATATATTATGTTATATGTGTAATTTATAAATAAACGCCGAGCAAAGTTGAATTTATTGCTCTGGCACCCTTTTTTATCTCTTTTAATTGACCATATCCTTCTGATTTCTAATAATATCGTAAACGGGCGAGACATTATATTTTAATGATGTATGGGATTTATACTTGCTAATAGATGAATACTTTAATGAACAAAGGGCTGGCACTGCACCTGTCTGCTGTGTTATTTTTAAAAGAGGACTCATAAAACACTGACGATTTTAACCATAATTAATGCAGTGATTATAGATGATCTTTGGGACTTATTACATATCAATATCGTATCATAAATAGAAATGTTACCATCAAGTTATTTTGAAAAAATCTTTTAATATGATCTTTTGATATGAAAACACGAAAAATGTTTCTACCTATGTCCGTTAGAAACCATCCAAGCGATTTTGATGATATGTTTATGTGTGTTTGAATGGGTCTCTATATGATTCATATTCACATATGGACTCGGTAGGTGGCGCTGTTGTCGAAATCCAGAAATCACCTGTGCGAAGTCGGGGCGGATCGCTAATAATAAATACAATTAAACTATACCTGTGTGTTTGTTATCCTGGCACAAACAGTTCAAAACATCTTACTTCCTCACAATTTATCAGTGTGTAATAACAGATAAGCATGATATTACCTAATCATTTTGGTATTTTAGAACCCAGTCATTTTAAGATGTATAATTAGGTATTTAATAATCAACCAAAGCATATTAAAAAAAGTCTTGACACCGGGCCTGTCTGTCTGTCTGCATAAATAGATCTGAATTATATGTCTGAATTATATAGACTATGTTGGAAATGATGATTTACCATCTATAAATACGGTTGCATTATAACTTGTTTTTTTACACAGTCAGTTTAAAACATCTTTCTTACTATATAACGTGTGTTGGTAATATTGTAAATATAAATGGATATATTATACCTTAGTCATCTTGAATTTAATTATATTATTTTAACGGTAATTGGGAAGTACACTCACAATCAATATATGTAAAAAATTGTATCCATACCACATTTGTACACAGACAGGCACTATATTTTGCCGTAACTAATAAAAATATTGAAGTATCTGAAAATGCTGAATGTACCTACAACTTGGTTTTATATGGACTATTATTCAACAGTGCACTATTTTAACTTAAAATACCGGTAAAAACCACTATAAATAGTTTTTAGTTTATTTCTAGGTTATTTTAAAATTCATATTTTAATTGTTAATTTCTCGATTTTCCGTCTAGATGTGGTAAAACTAATATTACTTTTGTAAACTATAGATTATAAGGAATAAATCGACATCCATTTCATTGCGTGACGCGAAAATTTGTGGTGGGCCCATTCTCCATACAAAAAATTGATTGTCTCCTTTATTAACAAAGTAATCGGACATAATTTCCGCGAATGGAGCAAATCGAGCAGCGTGCCGTCATTAAGTACCTCCATAAGAAGGGGCTATCATCAAAAGCCATCCATGATGACATGGTCAGTACATTAGGCGATTGTGCTCTGTCATATTCATCCGTCAAAAAAATGGATAGCAGAATTTAAGCGTGGTAGAGAGAGTGTGAAAGATGAACCTCGCTCTGGAAGGCCTTCGACGTCAACTACTGACGAAAATATTAAAAAAGTACTTGATTTAATAATGGGAGACCGCAGATTAAAAATTAGAGAGATAGCCGAGATTATAGGCATCTCTTATGAACGAACTCAAAACATCATTGTCAACGAGTTGGGTTTCCACAAGGTGTCTGCGAGGTGGGTTCCGCGACTGCTTTCAGTTGAACAAAAAAAGACGCGATTGACTATTTCACGCGACTGTTTGGAGTTATTTGAAGCCGATGCAGATGATTTTTTGAATCGTTTTGTTACTATGGACGAAACATGGGTTCATTACTATACACCGGAAACAAAACAACAATCAAAACAGTGGAGAAGACCTGGTTCACCACCCCCTAAAAAGGCTAAGTCGATTTTGTCGCCAAATAAGGTGATGGCTTCAGTATTCTGGGACTCGAAAGGTGTGATTATGATTGATTATCTTGAAAGGGGTCAGACTATAAACTCTGATTACTACTGCACCTTACTACGTGGTTTACGAGAGGAAATAAAAGAAAAACGTCGAGGAATGCTCAGAATAAAAGTCCTGTTTCATCAAGATAACGCCCGTGTTCACACGTCAGTACAGTCAATGGCTGAAATTCACAACTGTGGCTTTGAACTGTTACCGCATCCGCCGTATTCACCTGATCTGGCACCATCAGACTTCTTTCTGTTCCCTAACCTAAAAAAGCACTTGGGAGGTCAAAGATTATCGACAAACGACGAGGTCAAAGCAGCTGTAGACGCATATTTTGACTCTAAGGAAGAATAATTTTTTTTTCAACGGTCTAAATGCTTGGAAGGGGAGGTGGCAAAAGTGTATTGAACTTGATGGTGATTATGTAGAAAAATAAAAATATAACTGATTTAGTATGTGTTTATTTTCTTGGTTAGGCCTAGTACTTTTCAATCCACCCTCGTATATACCCACTAGCTTCATCTATGGTCAGCCTACCTGCACTTGTCTCGTGTGGTGGGAAAATTTAGACGTGGTGTTTTTTTGTTTTATTTTTATTTGAGATATTTTTTGGGTTGCCTATCCCAGCACTAAATAAAAGAACAATAATTACAAATTTTGTTTTTATTTATTCAATATACAAATTAAAGTTAAAAAACATACATAACTTAAGTTTTCTGGATAGTGCAGCACAGAAGAGCATCTGATTTTAGCGGGTACTCCGAAATTTCCACCTTGTTTGTTCCTGAAAATAATACTAGTGGTTTCGTCCTGTGAAACCATCTTATAGATATAAGGCTGCGAGCCAAACGAAGTTTGTAATCTCTACGTGTGTGAACCGTTTGCTTGTAAATTTGGATGTACGATATGTACGCGCCTACGATAGCTGCATAAATCATGAAATAAAATAGGCACAACCAGTTGCGTCTCGATTATCGGCTGATTGAAAGTTGGACCCGGTAGGCGGCGCTGTTGTAGGATCCTGACACCACCCGTGCGAAGCCGAGGCAGATAGCTAGTATATTATAAATAACTTTTATCTGATAAAAGAACAGGCATACAACAAGTTTTTTTTTAATGGAAGAGGGTTTACAAACGATCACAAAGTCCACTTGATGGTAAGTTGATGCTGTGGCCCATAGACATCTTTATCTACCCTCGATTGGGAACCGAAGAGCAGATCCGTTGTTACCCCTGAGTACTTCGGTAGTCTTCATTCACTGCATAAGCTGTTATTTCACGCTGACATTCCATGAGAGTGTGGTCCTTCCCCCGCAGTCAAAAGTGGTTTCACCAGTTTTGAGTTTTGACTATATAATTATATATGATAATTATATATATATATATATATATATATATATAATTATCATATATTACGATGATGATGATGTAAACGACGACGATGATGATGAAATTGATGATGACGATAATGATGACGATGACGATAACGGTGACGATGGCGATGACGTTGACAATGACGATGACTATGACGACGACTGACGATGAGGATGACGGTGACGATGATGATGACGATGACGATGACGGTGACGATGGTGATGACGTTGACAATGACGATAACTATGACGATGACTATGACGATGACTATGACGATCAGGATAACGGTGACGATGATGATGATGATGATGATGGTGATGATGACAGTGATGATGATGACGTTGACAGTGACGATGATGATGACGATGACATAAATGATGAGGATGAGGATGACGATTACGTTGACGATGGTGATGACGTTGACCATGACGATGACAGTGACGATGATGATGACGATGACGACAACGGTGATGATGACGATGATGATGGTGATGATGATGACGATGATGATGGCATTGATGATGACGATGATGATGACGATGACGATGACGGTGACGATGGCAATGAAGTTGACAATGACGATGACTATGTTGATGACTATGACGATGAGGATGACGGTGACGATGATGATTACGATAATGATGACGGTGACGATGGCGATGACGTTGACAATGATGATCACTATGACGATGAGGATGACGGTGACGATGATGATGATGATGATGTTGATGGTGACGATGACGATGATGATGACGATGCCATAAATGATGAGAATGACGATAACGATTACGTTGACGATGGCGATGACGTTGACAATGAAGATGACAGTGACGATGATAATGACAATGACGACTACGATGATGATGATGATGATGATGATGACATTGATGATGACGATGATGATGACGATGACGATGACGGTGAGGATGGCAATGACTTTGGCCACAACATTCTTCCGGAATTAGTATAACTAATTTGATAAATAATCAGTGCATAAAAATGACTAATTAAAAATTCAGTGTATGTATTATGATTATAACATAATATACTAATTGGGGTGTCTGAGGGTGTGCGCTAATTACATTACGTATTGTATATATATATATATATATATATATATATATATATATATATATATATATATATATATATATATATTATAATAGTTGTGGTCAAAATACAAATTTGATTATGTGACATTTTTCGCCAAAATGGAGTCGCGACTCACCAACTCTCATCTTTTGCAGGTCTCTTGCATAGATAAATAAATATGTAGCAAGCTAGTCTCTTGTTCCATTGACATCCTGTATCTTTACTATATTGTCACGCTATCAAATGAGGGGCAGTGCTGTGAGCTATTTGGCCAAAACTTTTGATTCAGTTCACTGATACGCTGCTATGTCGGTACCTTGTAGTCCGGTTAAACTAGACATTCGGTTAACATAAAGTTACAACAAGCTGATAATCGGTAAGATTTTTCAAAATATAATTATAAATAAAATTTTGAAGTTCCCCACCATTCCTGTGTATAGAATTTTTTTTTACTTAAGGTCAAAGTTCAAAGAAATGAGTTTTTCGCTAATGTAATTTCATTATTATGTTGAAAAATCCAATGTTTATACTCTAGGATGTGAGTTACTTATACTCGTTTATGGTTTGAGTTATATTCTTGCTCTAAATCAATAATTATATTTATTTTAAGCATGTTTTTATTTAAATAATGTTTACATAGTTTCTACAAACTAAACAAGTCCTCTTTAAAATAATATTTTTATAAGTACACTGTACATTTTATGTTGGACATCAATATCACTTCTGTTGAGGAAGTGGTGGTGGCAAAGATGTTTTATAGGTACAGATACCGTGTACGCGCGCCTAAAACGCTTCCATTTAAAAGGCGCCAATATTGGCGTATTCGTTCGATCGTTCCGCCATTACGCCAGCGACGTTCACTGCGAACATACATCACGCACCAGTGTTTTTAATTTCGGAAAATGACTGTTTGTGCTGTGAAATCATGTAAAAATTACTCTTGGAAAAAAGAAAAAGATAAGAACATCACTTTTCATAAGTAAATATACAATTTTCTGGTGTATTTCTTGATAAAATAATACGAAAGCTGAATGTCAATACAAGTAATAATACTGCGCAATAATATTCGAGTGTTGCCTACTGTATGAAATGTTTTTCCCTATTTTAATGTCATTAATAGATGTAAAGCAACTGTTGACAACGGATATTTATCCAAAGCAGCCGATACGCAACCGTTGTGAACCGGTTGTTTATCCGACTACAAACGAAAAAGGATGGTTATGATTTTACTGTGTGTGCGGTTGGCTAAGCTGAATCGCTTTTTGGAATGGTGCTCAAAAACAACTTGACCTATTTAAAAAATTATTTCACCATTAGAATGCTATTATGACTTTGAAATGTAGGATGTATTTTAATATAGAGGGCACTACCATCGACGAATATGTTTTTTAGCTGAACTCGTACAGTTCTTGACCGATTTTGAAAATTCTTTTACCACTAGAATATTATGTATAATTAAAGATGTCTAATGTAAGATGTATTTTATTATAGATGGCACTACTTTCTATGAATATGTTTTATTTGGTTTATCTCAAAGATTACTTGACTGATTTTGAAAATTCTTTTTACCGTTACATTACTAATGAGGGCTTTAGTTGTGTGATTAAATTATATTATTATAATAATTATGTTATATTATTATTTGTTATATAATTATGTTATATTATTGTTTATTATATAATTATAATATAATGTTCACTTCACTTTTTTTTTGCGCCCGAAGCAAATATGGGCAACCCTCCGGAAAGCGGGGGAGGGAGGCGGTGAATGCTCATAGCATACCACGCAGCCGGCTGCGTGGTTATGTGGAGACTTTTACCCACTAAACACCGCCTTTTAGGAAATGGCTTAACGATCTGACTAGAGATCTCTAAGCCGTATACGAACGCGACCCTCCTTGGCAGAAAGGAGGGCGCAGTTCACTTCACTTTCATGTCAAGGGCACTTATACACAATCAACATTGATTTTATATATTTTTTTATTTATTTACAGGTTTTACAGTACAAAATGTAGCCTTTAAACACACAACCTTTTATCGTCTTCCAGTGGCAGGATTTAATTGATTTTACGCAATGATTTGATCTAGTCATGAAACTGTATCGATATATGAAATTTAAAAAAAAAATAAACATTTGCTATCTCTTGGCCGAAGTTTACACTTAACCAAACTTACTTTTGTATTTTACTTAAGATTAAAAAATTTTGTCATTTTAATTAAGATTAAAAATAATTAATGTGTTCGCGTCAATATTTTGGGTTCTAAGGTACGAAAGTGTAGTACTCTATATATATTCAATAATAATAGATTAGTTCAATATATGTTAGATATATAAATATCTAATATGATTTTTGATTTATTTTTAACTGTTACGTTAATTATATCTAGTTTTTATTACTTATTTTCAATATTTTTGTGCGATTTTCGTACAGACCTACATAAAACACACATAACCACCCATATCCCTTGTGTGTGTATATCCCCATTCACATACGTACACAAATGCACACGCCTCGAACACATATTTTACACTCAGGTATGTCAATATGAATGAAATATAAAATCTCCCAAATTTTCGGGCAATCGATTCGCACTATTATTACCGAAGTCACGCACACTAATACAGGCATGGTACGTAAGATATGCGCGTCACGTGGTACTCACGTACACATGAATCAAAGACTGGCGTCACTGTGAATATACTATAAAACATCTTTGGGTGGTGGTGATCCCATAGCACAGCGCAACCTAGTTTGGGCACCAGTCTTCCACCTAGGTCTTCCTGTAAAACTATATAAATGTATTTATAGCTGTTATTTAGTTGTGTAAGTTCATGGTTATTTAGTATATTGTAGGTTACTTAGTATATTGCCAGTGCAAGTGCCGTCAAAACCTGTGCAGCCGTTCCGGAGATTGGCCGGAACAAACAGACAGACAGACAGAACTTTAATAATTGTTTTTTTTTGTTACAAGTATCATAATTATATGCTTTCACATGCATTTAGTAAAAAGATGTTATTTTAACCTTACAAACAGACACTTTTATTTTATTTATTTAAATCAAATGACACAATATAACTTCCAAATAAATTTGTTTCTAGTAAGTTAATTCTACTATGCTTATAATCTTCGCGAATGTACAAGTAGTAAGTTGAAAAACTTTAAGCGCGATCTGATGAACGGTATTAGAATATAGCGAAAACAATATTTGCAAAATACTAATAAACGGTTGACAGGTTAGAACGTAAAGCATTCGCCGCAGTATTACATCAGATGCAAGTAGAATGAGTAAGTGCTATTGTATGTGCTGTGTCTCTCTTGCTTGCTTGCGGCGGTGTAATATATCCCGAGCAGTTGACAATATCTGATTGTTTAACTGTAGTCTAAGCCTTACCTAGGCTGCGGTCTAAGCCTACGTACGTCATCGTAAACTATGAATGTAAACTACGTCAGTATTTCATGCTTGATATTCATTTAATAGCTCTCAAAAGTCTATCATTGTTTGATATCCAGAAGTAATCTTATTTTAATTTTTGTTTAAACTGTCAATTTATTTTTCTGTATGGTTCTCTCAAAACTCTCTTCATGTAACTAGCGAACCGCACCGGCTTCGCGGGTGGTTTCTAGATCTCGACAACAACGCCAACTACGGGGTCTAATTATGAATCTAAGCCTGTAACAAACAAACATACCGACAGACAATTTTTAAAAAATTGTTTTTTTTTTTATAAGTACCGTATCTATAATTCCATATGTATTTATAGTCAACCAAATCTAAGAAATACATTTTGACAGCTGTCAGATTTATTGAACCAAGCATGCCAAACTAAAATTGCGAACGTACAATATTCGATTCTTAAAAAATCGATATCGATTATTTAGAGTTGGTAATCATTTACAGTTTGGTATTAATAATACAAGAATAAATTAAAAATGGATTTAAAACTCAAGATTTATCAGTTTCTTCGTATTCGTAGTTACTGCTTATTTTTAGAGGCACAGTTACAAAAATTTAAGATTAAAACTAGATAAAAAATAAATTTATTCAATCACTTACAGTACAACTAGTTGAGCTGTCGTTGTTTAGATTAATTATTATTTGATTTTCAATAATGTACTCAAAATTAATGTCTTTCAAAGTCATCCGTAATCAATATTTTCGTTTTTTTTAAACCACTTTTGCCCAATCATCCTTTGTGGGTTGTGGGTACATGCTTCAACCAATGTAGAAGAAACAGTTCAAAAAGTTAAAACCGAGTCACAAAATAAGAAGACAAACACAAAATCACAAAATTGCGCACATTAATATCCCGAATTGGCGAGCGATTAAAATTACGTAATGGTTTTTATCAGCGCGGCTACGTATATGAGTTTTTTTGCCTGCATAAATTTACGTTGACTAAGTAAAAAAAAAATCTTGTGTTAGTCATGATTCATATAATTTAAAGAATTTTGAAAATAAAAAAATAATTACACAAATAATACTTTAAAAACTTAATGATTCGATTATTTGAATATTTTTACCGATTATTTGAAAATTTTTACCGATTTTAATCATCGAAATACTACGGTAAGTTACATAGTGACATATTATTGAAACGACGTCAGTTAAAAAAGTTGATACTCGTTATTTTTTTATATATTTTTTTATATTTTATTTTAAAATTACATCTTTATATATATATATATATATATATATATATATATATATATATATATATATATATATATATATATATATATATATATATATATATATATATATATATATATATATTATAATAGTTGTGGTCAAAATACAAATTTGATTATGTGACATTTTTCGCCAAAATGGCGTCGCGACTCACCAACAATGATTGGGATAGTCGTCAAAAGAATT